AACCCCCCCAGGGGGTTCCAGAGCCATGAGAATGGTCAGGAAAAGCTGCTGGAGAGCTGGAATGCTGGAATGCACCACTCCAGGATGGAGGGAATTCCCTTCACAGGTGATGGGAGCTGTGATCAGCAGCAGGACAGGGGGGCTCAGTCCCACCCCAGCCTCCCTTTGGGATGGGAGCTCGCCCTGGCAACTGGGCAATGGAAGCAGTGCCAGCACAGGGAACCAGTGTCACCCATGTCACAGGCTGCCACCTCCCACCAGAGGTATTTTTACCAATCCCTCTTCACAGGAAAGTTTTGCAATGACTGAGTAGTAGGAAAAACACAAACCCTTCCTTTTAAAGCAAAGCCAGCCCTCCTTCGAACGTCAATTCCTCTTTTTAGCTCGATCCTTGGAACAGGCAGAGGGTGAGTACTAAAAATACCCCTTCCTTCCCCTTCCCAACCGGGCTGGTGGGGGGCAGGAGGGGATTCCCAGCCCAGGAGAGGCTTCCCTTCCCCAGCTGGGGCTTCACTGCTGGGGGGAGACCAAAGGAGCCGGGAGAACATTGGGAAAGGTCCCGTCGCACCCCCCTGCCTGGTGCTGGGGACACAGGGAGGGGACAGCTCCAGGAGGGGCTAAAGGGGCACAGCTGGTGCTGGCTCAGAGCTCCTGGCGTGAGGCTTTAGTGGAGGAACAGCCAGGAGTTGTCCTGGAGGGCCAAAGGTTGGTGTCCCTGGCTCCTGGGGCCAGAGCAAACACCCGTGAGTGGATTGTGACCCCCGTGAGCACGCGGGGTCCCCGTGCACTGTCCCAGCTCCCAGTGTCCCTGACTCTGAGTTCAGCAGGGGCAGATCCAGGGACCTCCCAGGGGTTTTCCTGCCACCAAAGTGTCCCCCGAGGCCCCGGTGACCTGGGTTCCCCACCCCAGCCCCACCGGCCTGCGGGGAGCCCCCTCCCCTTGCGTGGATGGAGGCTGTGCCAGCGCGGGGACAGGGACACAGGGCGTGGTGGCACGTGGTCATGTGGCACTGACCAGGGCTGGGGATGAGCTTCCTGCTGCTGCTGGGCACTGGCAGCACCCTGTCCCCTCTGCAGGCTGGGGACAGTGGGACGGCCACCCTGGGTGGCCAGAGCCCTTCCTGCCACTGAGCTCAGCTTCCCTTCAGGGAAAACATCCCCTTCCTCTTTCCAGAGAGCACGAGAACAGGCTGGGGGTGGCAGGGACCCGATCCTGCAGAGCCACCTGTCCCCACAGCGTCCCAAACCTGGGAGCAGGGACAGGGGATCTGCGTGGGGACAAACACAGGGTGACACTTCCCTGTGCCAGTGTCCCCGTGTGGGCAGCCCTGGCACAGCTGGGAGGGAGGATCCAGCTGCAGAACATGTGGCACATCTGTCACCCTGGCCCAAGGAGGTGACAGAGGCAGGAGGGACCGGGGGGACACGTTCCACATCTGCCACACCCCGAGGCACCTCGGGATGGAGGTCCCAGCCCGGCCAGAGCCCCTGGAGAGGAGGAGAAGTGTCATGAACGACACGCCCGGCCTCCCCCAGGGCAGGGCAGCGCTGCCAGGGGAGCTGTGCCAGTCACGGAGCCGCTGGGGCAGGGAGGGATAATGGGAAGCAGCCCCACGGATGGGAGGGACACAGGGCGGTGTCCTGGAGGTGCCACCAGCCTCTTGTCCCATCCCAAAGCCACAGGGAAAGCGCCACATTCACCAGGAGGACACCCCAGGCAGCCAGGACACGGCACCAGGATGGGAGCAAAAGGATTTGGGAATGGGAGCTGCAGAAACGTCAGGGAAAATAAAAGAAATGGTACCTCCAGCAGCCCTCTGGAAGGGGATGTACCCTCAGCTGGGTGAAAGGACTCCTTATCTTCCTTATCTTATCAGGACTGGGGAGATTTAGGTTAATTTGGGCTCTGTCTGAACGCAGAGGAAGAGAAATGCTCTCCTCTCCTGGCTCTGCCCAGCAGGGATGGCTGAGGAGGGAGATCTGCCAGGCACTTCCCAGGATATCCTTCAGCTCCTGCAGCAGATGAAGCTCTGGATCATGAAAAAAAAAAAAAAAAGCCCAAAAAAAGAGTGAAAAGGGGAAAAAAAAGAAGAAAAAGGGGAAAAGCAAAACTGCTGTAATTGAAGTGAGTTGAGGGAAGGTAATTTCCGCCTGGGTTAGTGAAACAGCTCGGTGGAAATTTCTGATAAAAATCTATTCTTCTTTGAAAATGCAGATCCAGGGAAATGTGAAGGCTTTCCACTGGAAAGAATGAGTTCTGCTGGATTTCTCAACCAGTTCTCTAGAAAATTTGTCAATGGTCACATTTTAATCACTGCTGCTTTTTTTGTCAGACCAAAATTTACACTCCTGCCGCCTTCCAGCCTGACACGAAAATGCAACATTTTTGGCATCGCCGCTTTATTTGTTCAAAATTTAATATTCTACAGATCTTTTGCCCTCCTTCTGGATCAAGGAAACACTGGAAATGCCAAGACATGCCTGGGACAGGGAAACCATTTCCCCTAAAGCTGGGAAGCTCCGGATGAGGAGCAGTGCAGAACTCAGCACAGAGCCCGGGGTTCTCTTGGCCTCGTGCTGCTTCTGGGGACACAAAGGAGGGTTGGTGCCACCTCATTGTCCCACCCTGGGCCAGCACAGGCTCACCTCACGTCCTGGGGCTGGAAGAAGGGGGCATTGCCCTCAGATTCAATTCTTGGCAAATCCATGTGGGCACAGCTTGGAATCCCATTTTAATTTGAGGCAGGAAAGCACACAGACATCAATAAAGGTGATTGAGCCAGGGCAAAGCTGTTGGGTTTTTTCCACACCTTCACAGCCCCTCCTGAGCCTGGGAAGTTCTCCCTTCTTCCCCCTGACCCTGGGCTTTACAGAACCCTTAGGGTTGGAAAAATCCTCCGAGATCAAGTCCAGTTATTTGGGAGCTTTTCCTGTAGGGCAAAACCAGCCCCAGGATTCTCCCCCCGTTATTTTTAGTGCATTTTCCAGCAGCTGCTTCAATCCCCAGAGGAACTCCAGCATCAGCAGCCGCTGTCCCCAAGTGCCACTGCCCTGAAGGGGTCAAGCCCTGCCAGCTGCTGCTCCGCGGGGACAGGGCACTGGGTAAACACGGCTGGGGACACTCAGGATGCCCGAGGCAGCGCCTGGCACCGAGTGCCGGCAGCACATGGTGTCCCTGAGCAGCCGGTGGCACGCCGTGTCCCCGCCTGGCCCCGGGGTGGGAGCAGCACCAAGCCAGGGCATCTCCGGTGCCACAGCCTGGGAAGGGTTAAACGAGGAGAAAAGGCCACAAAAATGCAGCAGAAACACCCAGCGAAGGCACTTGGGGCCCTGGAGTGTCCCTGAGATGTCGCCGAGCGCTGGGGCAGGAGGGTGGCACAGCATCACCCAGCTGCTGTCCCAGCAAATCCTGCCCAGGGACAGTCTGAACTCACCCGGGACACTGGGGAAGCAGGTCCCTGCCCCACGGAGCTCAGGTGTCACCCGAGGGCAGGGGACAGTGCTGGGAGAAGCCCCAGGTGCACTCCATGCCCCGAGCCCAGCTGGCTGTGACAACCCAGGGACATCAGCTGGGGACAGCACTGGGGATGGAGCCAGGGGGCACCGGGATGGGAGAGGATAAGGGAGGTGGTGGCTGTGGCACAGGGACTTCTGTGACCACAGAGGGACACGGGGACAGGAGCTCCAAGGGGGACGGGGTGTGGGAGCAGGAGACCCAGCAAACAGCAGCCCTGGAGCAGGAGGCTGGGCTCCCTCCTGCCCCCAAGGTCCTGCAGGGTGGTGACACACAGTGACAGGCTCCCTGTCAGCCACTTGCTGTGACAGGGCACAGAGCTCTGCAGAGAGAAACTGAGGCAGGGCTGGAAATGTGGGGCCACCAAAGTCACGGGGGGCCTGGAGCTGTATGCCCAGCAAAGGACAGGAAGCTGAAGCCCTGATATATTTTACAGCAAAAATGCCCTTTTTGGTTCCTAGTAAAACCATGATAAGCTTGAAAGAAAAAAAGAAAAAAAAAAAAAAAAAAAAAAAAAAAGGAAGAAAATGAGAAAATGAAGCAATTGGGATTTTAAGTAACTTCCAAACCCTTTTGTTCACACAGCTCCAACCCACCAGGTGTGTGGAGGTGACTGGGCCCAGCTGGGGACTTCCAAGGTGGAACCAAATGGATGTGAAACGTTAAAGGTTTCACTGCAGCCTCAGTGTTGTATTTCCTGGAGCTGGCCCAGCCCCGCAGGTGCTCCCACTCTGCCCTGGGAAGCAGGACAGGTCACTCAAGGGAGAGAGGGACACCACCTCACAGTGACAACCCCACTCAACACCTCCTCCTGCTGCCTTGCCAAGCTCCTGGATCATTCCTGGCTTTGGGGTGCTCAGAGGGTGCCAAATCCACCCAGGACCACGACTCAGGCAGCACTTACCTCGTGCTGGGACCAGCTGTCTCTGACACTGTCACCTCGGGGGTCCTGGCACTGGGGGTGGGACATCTTGTGTCAGCCAGGGACAGCACAGACCCCCCACTTCTCCCATTCCGCAGTGGGGGAGGACAGGGTGGAATTCCTCCCAGCAAGGAAAGGCAGCAGAGAGGTGGGCAGGGTCCCGCAGAAGCCCCCTCCCCACCCCTGAGAGCCACCACCATTGCCATTGCCATTCCCATTCCCATTCCCTCCTGCTTCAGGAGCAGCAGCAGGGCATTAGCAGAGCTATTAAACCTTTTAAGGGGCTGCTGGGCTAGCTGGGAAGCAGCCAGGTGGCCCCAATGGAGACAATTCCCATCCAGCTGAGTGTGATGTACAGGAGGGGGTGCTCAGTGCAGCCAGGGCTTGGTTTCCTGTGCTGAGAGATGGGAATGTGTGATGGCACCCCAAATTCCACGTTTGATTTCTGGCAGGGATCAGAGAGGACAGGGAATGTCCCTTCTGGAGAAGGGGAGGTGGCTCAGAGCCCAGCACCCACCACGCTCCTGTCACCAGCTTCACAAATCACACATCTACCAGCGAGACTTCAACCACAATAATATTATTAATATTAATATTATTAATAATAATTAGAGTTCTGACCGATGGCTGCAGCTCTGGGCTACACCTTGGTGGTGCTGTCAGGTGGCCTCTCCTCAGCTGGCCCCTGTCCTTTGGGATGGGGCTGGGACACTCCCACCCTGTTGCTCTCAAGTCCCGCACATCCCGGAGCCTTCCGCCCTTTCCTCAGGAGGCAGAAAACCCAGACAACCAGGAGGGAAAGGCCCATCAGGGCCACCAGCAGAGCCAGCGAGGCAGTGCCCTCGGCTCGGGGACAGATCCAGCGGGGAGTGCCGGTGATCCTGGCCGAGACATTCCGGCCGTGCTCCTGGAAGACGCAGCGGGCCTGGCGCAGGTCGGGCACGGCCACGCCGGCCGCACGCAGCGCGTCCAGCCAGCCCAGCGAGCAGCAGCTCCAGGGGTTCCCAGCCACAGACACGGCCCTCAGGCTGCGGGACCAGCTCCCCGCTGCTCCCAAGGCCTGCAGGTTGTTGTTCCGAACGTCCAGGCTCTCCAGAGGGGAGCAGGAAAGCCCTGGGGGCAGCAGGCTCAGGCGGTTGCCCGACAGGTCCAGCGCCCGCAGCGTGCCCAGGCAGGGCAGCGCTGCCTCGTCCATCTGGTTGTCCCTCAGAGAGAGCTCCTGCAGGGACAGCTCCAAGCCTGCCAGCGCTCCCGTGGGCATGGACAAGTCCCTGTTTCCTGACAGGTCCAGGGAGAGCAGTGGGGTCCCGCTGAAGGCGTGGGGCTGCAGCCTGGAGATGTTGTTCTCGGACAGGCTCAGGTGCTTCAAGTGAGGCACGTTGTAGAAGGGGGTGCAGGTGTCTCCAGGGGCTGATGTGTGAGAATCCCCTCCCAAATTCCTTCCCTGGTCGCTCCCCTGGCTCTCACAAGGCTGGAGGCTGTTGGAGCCCAGATCCATGGATTCCAGGTGGGGCAGGGAATGGAAGAACCAGCGTGGCAGCACACGGAGGGCGTTGCTGTGGAGGTCCAGCGAGCGCACGGACAGCTCCGTGCCATTGGTGACAGACTCCCTGGCCACGTCCTGGAGACAGTTCCTTGCCAGGCTGAGGCTGTGCAGGGAGCCCAGGCTGCGGAAGAAGGAAAATGGGAACAGCTCCAGGCGGTTGTTGCTGAGATCCAGGTCAGCCACGTGTGTCAGAGTGGCCACGGGACGCACGGTCCTGTTGAACCTCTGCATCTCCTTGTAGGGCACGATGAACTCCCTGGGGTAGGGTGAGCCTGGGAGCAGGGAAGCGATGAGGTTGTTGGAGAGGTTTAAGTGTGTGAGATCATGGGCTCTGGGGAGCTCTGGGAAGGAGAGGAGTCTGTTATGGCTCAAGTCGAGCACTCGGAGCAGGTAGGGCTGCGCTCCCTCCTCCTCAGAGAAGAGCTCCAGGGCGTTGTGGCTGAGGTTTAAAACTCGCAGCTGCGTGAGGCTGAAGCCAGAGATACAGTGGAGGGAATTAAAAGCCAAGTTCAGCACCTGCAGCTCTTCCAGAGGCTCAAAAGCTCCCTCCTGGATCTCCATGACGTAGTTGTTGCTGAGGTCGAGCTGGCGCAGCCGCGGTGAGTTCCGGAAGGTTCCCGCCAGCAGCTTGGTCATCGTGTTCCCAGAGAGATCCAGCACCCTCAGGCTGGTGAGGTTGCTGATGTACCAGCTGGCCATGTGGCTCTCCAGGTTATTCACAGACAGGTCCAGGACCTCTATATTCCTGAGCAGATGGAAAGCTTCCCCGTTGGCCAAGTAATTCCGGTCCAGGTGGTTCGACCCCAGGAGCAGCGAGCGCAGCCGAGGCAGCTCAGCCAGGGCGGCGGCTGACACGGATTCCAGCTGGTTGAAGCACACATCCAAGTACTCCAGCTGCCCCAATCCTGGCATGTTGCTGCCTGACAGGTTTTGGATGAAGTTGTTGGAGAGTTCAAGGTACTTAATTCCTTGGCCAAGCTCCTTGGGAAATTTCTGCAGGCCAACTCCTTTGCAAGACACCTTCGTGGGGCTCTGTGGAGAGACAGGAGAGGTGTGAGTGATGGGGGGCTCCAAACCACAGCTCCAGGCAAGCCAGCTGCTGTCCAAGATGGGCATGAGAAGTGGGAATGAGCACTGCTCCCCCTTCCCAAGCCCAGCTGGTCCAGAGCATCCCTGTTTAGGCAGGAAGGGTGCTGTGTAGGCTCCACCTTTCCTCTCACTCTGGTTTCCTCTGGAGTTGGGAACCTGGATGGGGAGCAGCTGATTTTTATTTTTTTTTTTGGGAGACAGAAACCTGCTGTTCCCCAGCCAGGCTCCCATCTGCCTCACTGGAATCCCTGCCCTCCATCCTCTGAGCACCTCAGGCATGGCAGGGACGTGGGAGCAGCTGGATGCCACCTCACAGGAAACCAGCTCCAAGGCAGGAAAACAGAGGAAAAGCTGGGAAAGTTAAAGAGATGGAGGCTGGAGGGAGGTGAGAGCCATAGGGAAGAGATCCAGGGCGATGCTGGCAGCCCCAGCCACGCTGCTGGAGCCATCCCAGCCCAGGTGCTCCTTGGAAAACAGCCTTACCTGCTGGCACAGCGGCGAGCCGGGCCCGCTCTCGGGGCTAGCCCGGGCTCTGAGGATGGACGGGAGCAGGCAGAGCAGGAGCCATCCCCCTGCAGCCCAGAGCATGTTGGGCTGCGGGCGCTGCCAGCCCCGTCCCGCTCCCGCGGCGTCGCTGGCAGGCTGGGCAGGAGCCAGGCTCTGTATAAATAGGCTTCGGGATGGGATGGGGGAAGGAGATAAGGCATGTGGGTGTTCGCAGCACGGAAGTGGGAAAAGACAGACATCAGCTCGCAGAGGGGGAAAAACGGCACAAAGCCATAGGGAAGGGAAAGAGAAAGGGCAGGATGGGGAGGAGGGAGCTCAGGTGACCGCTGTGACATCAAATGCCAGGAGGCAGAGGTGGCTCGTAGGAAAGCTGAGAGGGTTTGGGGGAGATTCCCTGAGCCAGGGACAGGATGTGCCAGCTCCCGGGACACCAGGGGCAGCCGGCGAGGGCTCTGCAGCCATCCTGAGCCAGGAACAGCTCCTGGCTGCGGCATCACCTGACTGTCACACCCAGGCAGTGACAGTCCCTCCCCATCCCAGCGCAGCCCGGCCGGGGGGACTCTGCCTCTGTCAGGAAACAACAGCTTCCCAGGGCTCACCGCCCCTTCCCCGGGGATGTGCAGAGCTGGAATCCCCCTCCTCCTCCTCCTCTCCCTCCCCAGGGCTCTGCGGCGTGGGTCAGCTCCTCGCCCAGGGCAGGAGCAGAAGGGAACCGTCCCTGCGCAGCTCCAGGTGGGATCTGTGCGCCCGGAGCTGCGCCCCACCCGCAGGGACATTTTATTTGGGATGGTATCTCCGTGTCCTTGTGCCACCTAGTGCTGACACACTCCTTGGGGACAGGCCCCTCACGCTTCAGGGGGCACTCTCCAAAATGCACAGTTTGGGGTGTTTTTTGGCTCAGAGTGGTTAATTGCATGTGAAGGAGCAACTCAGGCTACTGAAAAGTTGTCCAAGGATGTGAAGTTTCAGCCACAGAGCTGATGCTCTAATCCTGGAGGTGTCTGGCAGGAAAAAAAATAATATATGGACATAAAATACATAAATAAATAAATATAGATTATTTATATATATATACACACAGAGAGTTACACAACTGAGTTACCCCTCACCCTCTGACAGTCACCGTGGTGGGGGACACTTTGTCACCTCAGGATGTGACTCAGCCTTGAGCTGGCTGTCCCCAGCATCCAGGTCAGACAGGACAGCAGTGACAGGCCAGGGACAGCGTTTTGGGCTGATGAGGCAGCAGCGAGCACAGAGCACATCTGTGCAGATGTGAGCTCCTGCCAGGGAAACACCGACCTCTGGATGACCCCCGGGCCCTCCCAAAACCAGAACCGGCACATCCAGCCCTGCCACACCCAGGGAAGCCCGGCCTGTCCCCTGCACCCCAACTGCTGGACGTGACTCTGCACGGTGACACAGCTCCTGTCAGCAGCTGAAAAGTCCCTGATTTGGATCTGGGACTTCTGCAGAGAATCCCAGGGCATTTGCATCCCAAGGCTGTGAACTCCCTTCGTGGGAGCGCCGGGCGTGGATCAGACCTGGCAAACACCGAGAGGCTTCTCTGGGATTGTGACAAAGGCAGAGTGAACCACACGGCCTGAGCAGGGAGACTCTGCTCTGAAACCAGCCACCCTCTGCTTCTAGGCCTTCCTGCCCTCCATGCTGGCTCCAGCAGATCTGTTGGAGATTCCCTGCTCCCCCCGGGAGTTTTGTGGGAGCAGTCTCCAAAGGGTGTGAGGAATGAGCAGCAGGACTGAGGTGAGGAGGAAGCAGGGACAGACCCACCTGCCCAGGTCACATCCCTGCTGTGGGTGACGGGCTCCAGCCTGGCTGTTTGGGACCAGGATACCTGGTTATCCAAGTCCATCGGATCTGCCCTTCCTTCCCTGCATTCCCAGGGCATTGGGAAGTCACTCCTGAGCAGCTCTGATCCCAGCAAGGGGACAGTGCCTCTCCCACCCCTGAAGGATGGAGCTGTCCCCTCACAAAGCACAGCCAACACTCTGCTGTGGCTGTACAGACCTTCCATGGGAGCTCCTGGTGTGCCTGGGGAGGGACATCCCACCGGGAACACCGAGAGCAGGAAAAGGCTGTGTTTGCCAAGGCCACCTGCAGCCAATTCCACGTCTCCAACTCACACTCTGGTTAGCGTGAGCACCAGAAAAAGCCTGTTAACACATTCCATGAAGGAATTGCTCCCTCCTGCCCTCCTCCTGCCCCCCTAGCATGCACCAGGAAGAACTTCCATGCAGGAATTGCTGTCTCCTGCTCTCCTCCAACATCCCGAGCACACACCACAGGGGACAGCAACACTCTGGCCTTTTACAGAGCAAAGGGATTCTCCCTCTGCCTCCCCCTGCCCACAGCCATGGAGCACATCCCAGATCCTGCCAGCGGGGGACAAGGAATGCAAACTGCATCCTGGGCTCTCCCAACCCCCCGTTATTTACGGCTGCCCCCAGCCTTGCTGCTCAGGCCTGTTCTAAAGCAATCCTGTTAACGATTTGCTTCATGTTCTCACTGTACACAGTTGTCCCGCTTCATTCTTGTCACAGGAACATGTCCCTCTTAATCCGTTTGAAAGGAAAGAAAACCACAAAGCCCAGTGAAGAGCCCCCAAGGCTCTCGCCCATCCCACATGTCGAGGCTGAAGGGAGGAGAAGCCACTAAAAAGGCAGAGCAGCCCATTTGTCACGCAGTTGTTTCCCGAAGTGCACGGCTCCTGTGAATAGCGAGGCCGCGGCCAACGCCGCTGCCCCGAGGAATTTTTGTCTCCCAATAACTGCAACACTTGGCAAGGGACATCACTCGCTAGGGCTGGAGCCAGGAATGCTGCAGGCAGGGCGGACCCTCCGTGGCCACAGCACAGCGCTGGGACACGTCCCTCCCACACCCTGCAGGTGACCATGCACCTCTGCATGGAGCCAGCGCCAAGACCACGGAATCACAGCACGGGGCTGGGAGGGATCTTATGGAACAAGCAGTTCCACCCCCTGCCATGGACAGGGACAGCTTCAAATAGCCCAGGTTGCTCCAAGTCCTGTCTAACCTGGCCTTGGATACTTCCAGGGATGCAGGGGCAGCCACAGCTTCTCTGGGCATCCTGTGCCAGCACCTCAGCACCATCACAGGGAAGGATTCCTTCCCAATATCCCATCTGCCTGCCCTCTGGCAGTGGGGAGACATTCCCCCTTGTCCTGTCACTCCAGGCCTTTGTCCCAAGCCCCTCTCCAGCTCTCCTGGAGCCCCTTGAGGCACTGAGGTCCCCAAAACCTTCCCTGCTCCAAGCTGAAGATGTCACTTTGGGATTTGTCTCATTTCTACACAAGCTGCAACTTCACTCCCCTCTTGAAAGCACAACCAGGCTGTGGAAAGAAACACAGGAAAACAGAACCCCAACCAAGCTGAACAAGTGTGAGCCAAGGGCTGAGACAACAGAGCAATTTGTGCCTCTTATGGCTCAGAGCATCTTATGGCTTTAGGTCTCCCCAGCTGAGGGGAGGTAACGGGACAGAGTTGCTCAAGAAGCCAAAAGAAACAATAGTTTCCCAGCTCCTCTATTAGTCACCAGAAATCAAGTCATGACTAGACTCAGCAGGGCTCAGAGAAAAGAAAAAGTGGTGACTTCATGCTGGACCGGATTTTAAAATCCCATTTTTTTTCCTTTGCTAAAGTCTCCATCACCACTTATTTTAGGTAGAAGGGTGCCAAAAGGAAAGGGGTGGGGGGAGGAAGGCTAAAAACCACATCTAAAAGCAGGACAGTTGCTATTAAAACAGAAAAAAAATTTCCTGTTTGAATATTTTATTCTTAAACATAACAAACTTCCTCCGAGTGTTGTCACAAGTACTTGTGGCTGCTCTACGTGGCTCGGTGAAGCCTGTAGAAATGTGTTCTGGTTTGCAAAATATTAATTAAAAAGAACAAAACAAACCTCCCCCCCTGCAAAAAAAAAAAAAAAACAACCAAAAACAACCAAACCAAACAAAAAAAACAAAACAAAAATACCCCTAACCCAACTCAACTTGCTGTAACAGCAGCAGTACTTGAAGGCAGCCCCCGCTGGGGCAAGGTTACCTCTGGGGTAAGGGCAGGAGCTGAAAGGAGCAGAGGCCTGGACCCGGGAATTGGCGTTTTCTTTGGGATTTGGTGGTTTCTGGAATGTGGAGGCAGTTTCCTATCTGCTAAGCCTGCTCTAGTTATTCCTCTTCCTCTCGCACTTCCTGCTTTTGCTTCCAAGCTCTAGGTCGAGGCACTTTTCCTCCTCCTCCTGAGGATGAATGTAAACACCACTGACCCTGTCTCACTCACCTCCCTCGCCCCCCAGCCCTTCCAGCTCCCCCTGGGAAGGCAGGAAGCCAGAACCCCCTTCCTGGCTGTCGTGAGCGTGCACATGCAGCAGCCTGGCTGGGATTTTGGGACAGGAGTCCGTGTCCTCCCGCTCCTGCCTGGGATGCTCTTGCCAGTGCCAACATCCGAGCAGAGCCCCCAGCTCTCCCAGCAAGCCTCGTGTGAAGGTCACAGAGCAGAGTATCAGTGCAGTAATACTTGAAATACTGAGACAAGGCACACCCAACAGCCTTTCCTCCTCACAACGCTCTCCCCACCAGCTTTTTGGTTTGATCCGAGTCTCCCCGCGAGTCACAGAGGACAATTGTGCTTCCTGCATTCACATATAGGAATAAATAGCTCTGGATCAGTTTCCTTTATGGCCGGATTACAGAACCCCTGAAATACTGATACGCTTTATGAACAGCAGCACTGGGCAGTTCCGTGGGTGTCCTTGGCCACGCCAAGTTCCTCTCTAGGATGCGGGAGCATCTCCCAGGCGGATGGCCCCAAAGAAAGTCGTGTGCTTGCTCATGTTGATGGAGATGTCAGCGTGGACCATCTTCACGGCGATCTTCTGCCTGGCCTTGAGCAGGCACACCCCGGCCGTGTAGCAGGTGTTGAAGTTGGTCTTGCCGGTCTCGATGCTGCGAGTGCATTGCAGAAAGGGCTTCTCGTCCACCACCACCTCGTAGCTGGCAAAATCGGTGAAGTTGATGTAGTAGACCTGATGTGAAGCAGGGAGAAGAAAGGGGTCAGGGAGGGGGTTGGGGTGTGGGGAGCAAGTGCAGCGTCCTGGGGGTGTGTGCAGCCCCTGCTGGCCCCAGCACCTGCACTCACAGGTGACGTGTGCGAGGCAGGGAGAGCCCCAAACCAACCAGGAACCTCCTTTATTCTGCTTCAGACTGACCCAAGCATGCAAAACCCCCTGAATCCATGTGCCTGAGGCTGAGCTACCATCCTGCATATTCCAGGGAAGTGACACACCTGCACAGAGCCATGCAGGACCCCCTGCGTGCTACAACAGCTCCTCACCCCACACACAGACACACACATTCCACTGAAGGCCTCTTGCACTTACCTGGCCAGTCCTGCTTCCTGGTGCCAGGAGCCTCCTTTAGTGGTGACATCAGAACTGCCCTAAGGTGGCCTGGGAGCTGCCTCCTGGGAAACTGGACTCGGTGCTTGCACAGGCACGAGCTATTACAGGGAAAAGGCTCTCCCAACCTCCACAGCTTGGGAGGAAATCACCTCACAGTGCTTCTACTGACTGAACTCCCTGACTTCTTCCAAGGCCCTGTGACTCTACTTGTCCTTACTTAACCCTCTCCTACATTCTGATTCCAAAGAGCTGTGGAGGAAGACCTGTCCAAGGAGAAGTCACTCTAAGGGAGCTGCTTCTTCCTGAGAAAGGAAATCCAGCCCTCTTGGAGGCAGGAGCTGCCTGAACATTGAATCCCTTTTTTTCCTTGATGGACCACAAACGATGAGGCTTCACTGGTCCAACACTGTGGCCAGCAATCAGCATCAAGCACTTGGGAAACAATTATACTTTGGCCCATGTGGAGTTATATTTTCTGCCCCCATCCAAACTGGACACCAACTGGTGTCACCAATTCCATGGAAGAGCACCTGACATCCGTGGTCCACTTCATCCCAGAGCTGGTTCTGGGGAGGAGCTACACAGAGCAGGGGGAGGCAAAAGGAGTCACCTGGGCGGAATCTGGCCAAACCACCTGGACTGGGAGTCCTGTGCTTCCAGAGTGACACAGCTCCAAAATAACCACAAACGACCAGAGTTTGGGTCTTTTACAGCACTGAGCTCAGCGTCCTGCCTGCAGGGAGGTTTGGAAGGGTCGGGACATGGATAAATGGAGGGATAACCCCGGGACTGGCGGGTGTGGGGTGTGCTTTCAGTGACTAATCCCTGGCGGGCGGTGTCCTGGCGGTGACAGGGGTGTGACACTCCTCCCCACACCCCTCCTGAGCCGCAGCGGTTACAGCTCCACGCCAGCTGCCGGCATTTGGCTGTTGTCTGGAGCCCTCTCGTGGTTCATGCAAGGCTTCCACCGGAACACAAGAATAGGAGGAGTTAGCCTAGGACCGTACTCACTTCTACCTGACTATAGATGAAGTATGTGCCGTCCACCAGTACCTCCAGCTCCCCACTGCGGGCATGCAGCTTAAACACCTTGGGGTTCAGAGTGATGCGAGACCAGTCATTGAGGACTCCACCTGAAAGATCTCAGTATGAGAAAACGGCGGTCACTCAGTACCCGTCAGGAGGAAAACACAACACAGTCACAGCACGACAGGGAGCAGGGAATTCACAGGGGGATCCCGGGATTGCACACCAGGGAGTGGGAGCAGGGAACCCTCTAGCTCTGGGCACACCGTGAGGTCGCCTGTCCCTCCAACCCTCTGTGTCTCCACCTCAAAACCCAGTGCAGAGTCTGTTGTGCTCCTAGGGCTGGACATGGACCTGCCTGCTCCTGACCCTGCAGCTGAGCTTCTTTGATCCCTGTTCCCCACTGTGTCCATGGGAATGGTCATCACAGAACCATCATGGAATGGTGGGAATGGTTTAAAGGACCTTAAAACTCATCCTATTCCACCCCCTGCCATGGGCAGGGAGAGCTTCCACAGGTTGCTCCAAGCCCTGTCCAGCCTGGCCTTGGACACTTCCAGGGATCCAGGGTCAGCCACAGTTTCTCTGGGCACCCTGTGTCAGGGCCTGCCCACCCTCACAGGGAAGGATTTCTTCCCAATCTCCCATCTAAATCTATCTTCTTTCAGCTTAAAGCCATTCCTTCTTGTCCTGTCACTCCAGGCCCTTGTCCAAAATCCCTCTCCAGCTCTCTTGGAGTCCTTTTAGGCACTGGAAGGGGTTCCCTGGAGCCTTCTCTTCTCCAGGCAAATGGAGGCCAAGCTTTGGGTCACATGATTGATTTTAATTCTGCTGTTCCTTGACTTCACCATTCCTGACTTTGTAATTGGGATAATTATAACAAAACCTTTGCCTTTATAACTTTTAAGGTTTTAAAAAGCCAGAAAAACAAGAAAGTGGGAAATTGCATCATATCTCACAACACAGTAATCCCTACTGGGGTCCCTCAATATAGGGATTTATGGATCCACCACCCAGTCCTTTGGGATTACTGGGATAACCTAGGGACAGGCTTTGCTGTGAGTCCCACACTGAGCCAATCTCTGTAGGTGCCTCAGTCTGTCAAATCCCACTCTTTTCCTCCCAGTCTCTATCTGCCCCTCCTCTCCCTGCTGGATGGGTTTTTTACTTAAGAGCTGGACTCGATGATCCTTGTGGGTCCCTTCCAAGTAAGAATATTCTGTGCATCAGCTGGAGCTCGCCAGGCTGGCAGCTGGGCAGCATTCCTGGCTCCCAGCTCTGGATTGTTCCTGAGCAGCAGGGAAGGACACTCACAGGGCATTCCCGCTCTTAGAGAGCAGCTCCCTCTGGAAACCCTCAGCATCCCCAGTAATGAAGGGATAATTGCTTTCTGAATGTAAGCAAACTGCAGCTTTTCCCTCACATTGTTCCTGGGAACAGGCGGTTTCCTTTTCATTCTGGGGAGCTGCAAGCACAAATCCTTATCCATGAGAAATTCCAGCTGCCACTGCTCACAGAGAAAGCTGCCTTTCCACAGAAGCAGTGGCCAGCCCTCCCCATCCCACGTGTGAGGCAGGAATTCATGGACAGGGATCCTGCTGCCCCCACCCTCGAGATTCCCTGCCTTCCCAGTCTGGGATTGGGCTAAGGATGGATGGATGGATGGATGGATGGATGGATGGATGGATGGATGGATGGATGGATGGATGGATGAATGGCTGTGGTCCCTGGGAGCTGCACGTGGGGACTCAGGGAGGGGACAAGCCAGCTCCTCTCCAGCACAGCCAGAGCAGGGACGCAGGAGGTGAGGAATGAGCCCCAGCTGTTGGCAGGGACAGCAGGAACTTGAGGAGAATTTGGATGGGGATCTGGGAGGGAGGAGGAGAGCAAGGAGCTTCCTGTGGCTCAGCAGGATCTGGGATTAAAGGCTGTTGGCAGGGACAGAGGTGCTCAGGGAAGAGCTGGTGGGTGGACAACACCTCTGTGTCCTCTCACCACTGGGTATTCCCTGCCTTAAATTCCTGGGAAACTGGAGGAAAATGGTCAAATGGGGAAGAGACAGGACAAGGATCTACTGAGGGCTTAAAATAGAATGGGGGATAAAAGACCTGGTCACGGAGGGGCTGGGGAGGCACAAGATGTACCTGGAGGTCAGGGAGAGGAGATCCAGTGGGACAGAGTTACTGGGGTGTGCAGGGCAGGGATAATCTGGGAGATGAACAGGAGCTCAGGGGAAATGGAGGTGGAGATTCCACACAAGACTCTTCTTGGGGGGTCTGGGCAGGGGTATTGGAGGGCAGGGGTGGGCAGGGATCATCCTGGAGCTGTGTCATGGGATGGACTGGCATCCAGGAACTCAAGGGGTGCAGGAGGGGCTCTTCCCAGTACCCACAATGATCAAGAGATCCTTACCATTCTTCACTTGGATTGCTGAGCCTTGGCCTTGGAGATGGACCACAGCTGGCTGCAAGGGAGAGCACAGGGATGGAGGATTAACGGGAAGCACCGTGCCAGTCCACAAAAATGCCCCCAAAGCTGGGTTTTTCCATGGAAAGATCAACCCACCTGGATGTCTCTGGAACTGGCCTTGTCTGTGGCACCTGCAAAAGGCAATTCCAAATCATTGAAGAGGGAGGTTGAGTGAAAAATCCCATAAATACAACTTTTATCCCACAATAACCCTTAAACGCCCTTATAAATAATTTTTTTTTACTCCAAAATAACCCTGAAGCCCCATATAAATTTATTTTCTTACTCTATAATAATCATTAAAACCTCTGCTTTAACAGGAGGAGGGATATGGGGTGCAAGTAATATTAAAATATATAAAACAAATATTAAATATAAAAAATATTTAAAAACATACAAGGAAGAAAAAGACACATCCTATATTTCCCAAGTTTATTCCTGGAATTTCTGTCCAGCCATCAAAAATTCTTTATTATTCAACAGTTTTCCACTAGAAAGAAAGACTGCACAACCCATTCCCTGATCCACAGCAGGAATAAAACCTCTAGGCTGCCAAGATGCCAAGTTCCCCTCTGCAGGTCATCCACTCCACGTCCCTTCCCTGGGAGCCAAATCCTAATTAGGGAGGAGACGCCCGTGGCAGCAGAGCACGGAGCTGAGGGGCTCCTGCTGCTCCTGGCCATCCAGAGCCATGGAATCCCAGAAATTCAGCATGCTTTGGGCTGGAAGGAACCTTAAAGCCCATCGAGCTCCACTCCTACCACGGCAGGGACTCCTTCCATAGGTTGCTCCAAGCCCTGTCCCACACGGCCCAGGACGCCCCAGTCCTGCTCCAGGCCCTTGTGCCATGGCATTGGGACACTCTGGTGACATCTCTGGTGCCATGTCCGGTGCCATCTCCAGCATTCCCGCCCGGCAGCCCGAGCAGAGGGCACGGATGGATCCTTACCTGAGGGGCCCTGCAGGCCGGGCGGTCCCTGAGGGCCGGGCGGGCCGGGGGGCCCGGGCGGGCCCATGACGGTGGTGCCTGGAATCCCGGGGATGCCGGGAATGCCGGGGGGACCCTGCGGCCCGGGAGGCCCTGGTGGCCCTTGGGGACCGTTGGGCCCTGGAGGACCAGCCTTTTTACCTGGAAAACACAAGGACGGGCGTCACCCGGGGCTGTGGGGTGGGCTTGGAGCTGCAGGAATTGGGAGGTTGGGGATGGATCACTCCTGGCTAGGACAGCGGGGTGGGTGTCCTACGGCTCCACACCACGAGGACAACGCTGCCAGCAGGGCAGGATCAGGTCACCACCCTGCAGGCTCCTTCCTGCTGGGAATTACACTGAAATGAGGCACGGGGACTCTCCGGGGCCTCTCAAGGGATGGAGGCTCAGGGGGCTCTTCCCACAGCTCTGCTCAGTTCTCAAGTCCCAAGCCCTGGGGCTGGTCACATCCCTACGGACCCGGGATGATCTCTGGATGCATCAGGATGCTCCCACAGCACGTTCCAGTGCACCCAGCCATGGCTGGGCTGTTCTGGTCCAGAACCACTCTACAGTTACTCCGTTTGCTGGGTTTTGATGGAAAACAGGGATAATCTTTCCTACCTGCTGCACAGGATTAGGATTGGGAGATGATCCCCATGGCTTGGTCTCCTCCAGAGGGCAGTTCAGAGCTGAGCTCCAGCTCTTCCCCAGTGTTGCTGGAGGAGCCCCTGTGCTGCTTGTGCCTCAAAATAATTCAATATTTTGGGCTTTGGATGGAGGGAGGGCCTCGGGAAGGACTAACCCCATCCAGGGGATGGAAACACTGGGGAATTGTTACAATCACAAATCCCAGACTGGTTTGGGTTGGAAGGGACCTTAAAGCCCATCCAGTCCCACCCCTGCCATGGGCAGGGACACCTTCCACCATCCCAGGGTGCTCCAAGCCCCATCCAATCTGGCCTTGGACATTTCCAGGGATCCAGGGGCAGCCACAGTTTCCCTGGACAACCTGTCCCAGTATTTTACCAGCCTCGTGGTAAAAACCTTCTTCCCTAGTAGGATCCTCAAACACCTCACACATCCCAAGGAAGAGAAATGACATAATCACATCAGGAATGACTCCTACACACAGAGAGTGGGATGAAACAAACTCTGCAGGGAAAGTCTGGTCCCTGCTCTCCTGATTTTCCACGTTCCTGACAAAAATGATGTTCTTTTGATGTAGTTTTTAAAATGCCACTTTGGAACAGCTTTTCTGCCAAGGAACATAAACAGAGCAAAATCTCTTCAATTGCTGCCACAAGGTCCCCAGTAGGACAGAATTAAACTCATATTCAGATGACAGCAGCAGTTGGGATATGAAATTATAGTTGTTGGAATAGTCTCTGAGTACATTTATGTACTTGTTTCTCTACTAATATCCACCCTTGTAATGGACAGAAGCGTGAGGAAAAATCTGTTTTAGCACAGGACTGGGAATTTCTGGATGGCCACTAGTCAAGGGCACAAGGACATCAGGGTGGGACAACTGTGGGCATAATTGATATGTGTAGAAAATGAAGTTAAAGTAAGCAGGGGTGAGTAAAGCCACACTGGCATCCTACAAAAAGTGGAAAAAGGCTTCAGGGAACAAATCTCCACAGCAATATTTCTTTCCAAATCAGCAGCCATGACTTCCTACCTGAGCTGGCCACAATCCAGACCTCCTCTAATCCAGTACTGCTCTTCAGGATGAGGCCCTGCTTTGGCAATGATCACCTTGAACCACACCCGTTTTCCCAACACCAAACTCCTCTCACTGACATCCCTCCAATCCAGGCCATCCCAAGGGAGGACTGCAGACAGGGAGTTGGGAATGCTGCTGCTGTCACTCCAGGCTTCCCTTCCCAAGAGGGATGCACATCACAGCTGGTTTAACTCATCTGCCTCCAAAATCTGCTCTGCTACTCAGGGAGCTGCTGCTTGAGCAGTGACACAATCACTCATCCCAGCCACACATTTCTGTGCCTTTCCCTCCTTCAAGGCATTTCAACCACTTCTCTGCATTACCAAACCTCACAAGACAAAAGATATTCCATTTATTATCTGACAGCTCCCCTGTCAGGTCTCCAGGAGGGTCCCAGCACCCAAATCCCAGCCTGCCAAGTCTCCCATGTCCGTACCCACGGGCTCCGAAACTCAGAGCAGGCAGAAGCAGGGAGTTCTCCATAACCCTCACTCATCAAACAATGAACTGGAACTCTAAAAAGAATTAAATGTGACACTACCATAAAATTAAGCTACTTTATACAGCTGTATGCAATCCAGCTCCACGAGATCCCCCTGCCCCTCTGGAATTGCTCCGGAGGCTGCAGCCTTCAGTTGTTATTTGTTGGGCTGATTGGACGTGGGTTGAGCTTTGTTAGGACAAACTTCTCCAAAATAAAATTTTATGCTGCTTCTCGGAGTAAATACAAATAAAATTGCTAAGTGTGGCCTGTTCCCACCTCTCAGCTGTGGCTCTGGAGTTTGCATCCAAACATTAAAGCCATTTGATGTGCTGCTGCAGTAGTACAGACATGGAAAACGCGACTGCTCGGATCCCTGGACTCACTCAAACTCTGGGAAGTAAATGTGGGACCCTGCATGTGGGACCCTGCATGTGGGACCCTACGTGTTCCCAGCAGTCCTACAGAAACAAGGATGGCATCAGGAACCCCACCAACAGGGCTGCCTGAATAACCCAAATCCCAACAAACCACTGCAAACTGAGGAACATCACAAAATCCACAAAACCTTGAGGGCTGAGCAACACTCAGAAGGAGCTCACAAAATGATAATTTGGAGGTTAAAACAAGGAAAAGCAGAATGCAAAGTGTGTTCATGCTGAATTTGGTGGGTCTGAAGGAGAATCCAAGCTGCAGGTTGGCAGTATTGGGATGAAAACCAAGGCTGGAAAACAGCAAGAGCTCCTGCTATGTGGTACTGACTCAACTTTTCAATTGGAGAATCTTCAAGATTACTTCTGTACAACATAATTAACTTCTTTCACTGTTTAAGGAAGTTTTAAGGGGTGCTTGTAGGTGTTATTTCAGCCTTTCCTGGAAAGGAAAACTGCCATTGGTTTCTCCTTTGTGTCAGCTGAAGAGAATTCACAAACACAGAAAGGAAAATTCAGTTAAAACTCAAACTTACCCTTTTTCTTGTTTTTCACTGAACTTGGACCTACAAAGGGGAAAAAAAGAAAGAAAATTAGTGAAATTCAGGGATCATTTAATCAGAGAAAATCCCCATTGCCATTTTATTTTCCAAGTGGACAATGGACGTATTTGTGGCCCATGCAGCAGCACAGGAATGGTCTCAACTGAGACCAGTAACCCAAATTTCAGAGCATCACAGAGTGGTTGGGGTTTGAAGGGACCTTTAAAGATCATCTGGTCCAACCCCCTGCTGACTCTTTGTGAGCCAAGTTGTTTAAAAATAAGAATAAAACACTAAAAAAATACAAAAGCAAAGAATTATTCTGAACTGGCTGTTTGAAACAATGGGAACCCAAACCTCCCGAGCATGGAGAGAAAATATTTACAGTGAAGCTGAGAAATGACAGGACTTTGTGAGCAGAGGCTGAAGTGTGAAACATGTTCCTCTGCTTCCCCAAGAATTCATCATGTATGGGAATTAACTGCAAAAATCCCCAAACACTCCCTTGCTATTCATCAGGGAAATTCCTCTCAAACCTGGGATTTAGCACAGCAATGACTGAAATCACCTTTAAATGAGATAAAAATATAAGCAATTGAAAGTAATGAGGTTGCTTTGAGTCTGAGGGGTGGGGAAAGGTAAATTCCCAACAGAAAAGCCATTTCCCCATGGACAGGCAGAGGAAAGACAGGAAAAGCACCAGAGAAATTACCCATCAACCTTACTGATACCTTTCCAAAAGGAATATTGACTTTCCCACATCGTGCTGTTGGCTCATGGGACAATGATGGTATAATCTATAAAAGGCATTATCTGTAAAAGACATTATCTATAAATGGGAGATAATATAATTTATATAATTTAAGGGACAAATTCCTCCCTGTGAGGGTCTGGCACAGGTTGAAGCTGTGGCTGCCCCAAACCCTGAAGTGTCCAAAGCCGGGCTGGACAGGGCTTGGAGCAACCTGGAATAGTAGAAGGTGTCCCTGCCCATGGGGGTGAATGAGCTTTAAGGTCCTGCCATCTAAATGATAATTTCTGCTAATTCCCTATAGTTAATAATATTTTTATACTAATTTTTTATAATATCCACAGGTTGGACAACACATGGAATCCTAACGATGCCATTCCAGTGTACCACTAGGAAGCCACACCAAATTGCAAAACCCTTCAGGCTGGACAACCAGGCTCCTGATTCTGCACTTCTGAGCCCCACCAGTCCTCATTGTAGCCACCAGCCACTGAACAACATTAGAAGAGGGAAAAAAAAAAAATCCCATTTAAAGATCCCAGCCCATCCCAACCCAGCGAGACGCGAGCGGCTGTGCCTCGGCAGCCCTCGGAGTCACGAGAGTTTATTTCATGTTCCATAGATCCCACCATTAGCACCAGAACCAGAGTGAAAGTACAAATAGCTGCGGCCAGCCAGACACATTTGGGCTGGCTGGATCCAATTAGCTTCAAAGATGACTGGGAGGAATGAGAACCACATGGGATGTCAATGTTCGCAGTCTATATTACAACACACGCATCTGTTCCAGGCACGACAGAGAGAGATGTTATGGATCTGCAAGTGGAGCTTTCGACAGACACAAAAGTATTCCTGACACGAGGGGGGGAAAAAAAGCCAGGATTATTAAGCTTGGGAGCTTCTGAGTCTCTCTGGGGTTTGCATCTGTTCGCCTCCCGGGAGCAGGGGGGGATCGTTTAATTGGAGCACAGGGCTGAAGCTTCTGATACAGCAGAATTTCGCTTGGTTCTGCTCAAAATGGGAGGTTTGTTAGCTACTGCTCCATTTAGGCTAAAATGGTAATAAATTAGAGTCTAAGCTGAGGGCCATCAAAATTGCAGATCAATATTCCTCTCAGGTGGTGAGGTGTTGAGGCATAAGGCTTGAAAACTTGGCTTGATGGATGTCCCAACATTGATGTGCAGAGGAGAAAAATGGTAATTTAAAAATCCTTTCTGTCAGGGTTTTCAGAGGTCACAACCCAATATTTAAACATTAAACTTGTTAAAATATTTTAAAATACTTTTCAAAATATTTAAGCTTGTCAAATGCAGTGGTTGAACACACAAATAATATCAATATAATATAATGGATACCCCATCCCCTGGAAGTGTCCAAGGCCAGGTTGGACAGGGCTTGGAGCTACCTGGGATAGGGGAAGGTGTCCCTGCCCATGGCAGGGCAATGAGGTCAGTGTTAAGGTCCCTCCCACCCAAACAAGTCTGGGATTCCATGATATATCTGACTCACTGGCTACCTCTCAATTAATGGTTAAATACCTACAAGTTATGCAAACCATTTATTTACTGTAGCTTCACACAGCCCTTGATCCCAAGGATGGCCTAAAAGAAAACTCTGGTTTTTTCCACTCCAAGATGTGGAACACAGGTGTATCCACTCTGTTCCTTCACTGTCCAGGAGTATGAAAAACCAAATTACAGGATATCTTCTGCTGCTCCAGAGTCTACAGACCTGCCACCTTCATGGAGAAGGAAACTCGTTTGACTTGAAGAACTTCTGACTGATCAACGTCTCCCACCCCTGATTTCAGGGACTTTGCCCTGCTGCAGTTGAGGGAAGGGTTGAGGAAATCCTGGGAATAGTGAAGTCAATCCTGATCATCTGATACAGAAAGAAGAATTGAAATGAGAGGAATTCCACAGAAAGGCTCCTGGAAAGGGCAAGAAGTGGGCATGTGAACTTGCCTTGGTAGCCACCAGCACTGGGAGGAGAAGACCTGGAGGGCTTCCAGATCAGTGCTGGCACATCCAAACTGCTCCCCAAGACCATGGAGTTGGGAATGAGAAGACTTCCAAGGAGAAGCACAGGTCTGGAGGGGAACTTCTGGCTCAGAGTGAGCCCTCCTGTGTCAGAGGTCATGGTTGGAAAGTCTCTCTAAAGCATGACAGTCCCTTTGGAATGTTACTTTTAGTAAGATTTTTGCCTACCCACCAGAGCCATTGCTACTGAAGCTGCTGCTGGAAACATTGCAGCTACCTGATCTGCTCCTACCACAGACACTCCCTCTCCCTGGATCTCCTGCAGGAAAAGCCCCTGACTCTGCTGCAGTAACTCAGACCAGCTGAATTCCTCATCCCAGGACAGGATTCCCCCAGGAAATCTGGGAGCAGGAGTGCTGCACACTGCACACCCTCTGTGAGCAGCACTCCAGGGCTGGACCCCTCCAAAAGCTGATTTTTCACAACTGCTGGGAAAACATAATGGGAGGACATCAGAAAAGGAGGGAATGTCAAGCCTGCAGGAGGGGTAAACTTAGAGGGAAAGGCACAAGCAGGAAAGACATCTCTACATGATGACAAAAGGCCTCAACCCAAACAGAGCCACCACACGTGGAAGGCTCCAAACCATTCCAAGGCACTCCAAACAATTCCAAGCCCCTTCTAGCAGAAGCACTTTGGGTTCAGATGCAAACATCTCACTTGAAGCTGAGGGAAACCCTTGCAAGAGATGAGTTTTTGTTGTGCAAACCCCCAGCTGTGGCCCAGCCAGCAGCAGAAGACATCTCCCCATGCTTCAGGGAGCAGGTTCCAGCCCCAGTTCCTGCAGCCATACCATCTGCTGGATCCGTTCCAAGGCCTTCAGAAAAATCCCAGATGGTGATGCAACTCAAGGATATTACATGTGACATGTTTGCTCTCAGCAAGATTAATAGAGTTGACTTTGCCCCCCCTCCAATCTCTCTTTCTGCACGCTACACACTGCTATGATTTACTCTAAATACAGAAATATCCCAAACTTCTTTAGGACATCTGCTGATATAAATAGGATATTAAAAAGCCCCTGCATTCCCTTATTAGCTGTGTGTGTGGATTAACAAGAAATAGTTTAAATTCCTGCCAAACAGTTCCAACTGGTTTTATGGACGGGAACAGATCTTTGTAATTATGCTGATTTTATATCAAACCTATAAAAGGTTGACCATTATAGGAATCAGCCAAACAAAGGATACACCTAAAGAGGTGCTGAATGGGCTGGAATTCCCTGCTGCCAAGAGCAGAAAAAAGCCATGGAATGCCACAACTATGTTTTAGCAGCATCATTTGATTCAGGACACGACACCAAGTGATGTCTTTAAGGTGTTCATGCAGTTTGGGAAAGACACGTGGCAGCAGCCACCAGTTTTGGGTATCCATCCATCCATCCATCCATCCATCCATCCATCCATCCATCCATCCATCCATCATTGTGCCAATCTGTTTTCAGCATTCACTGGGAATTATTGATCCTTCTCCTATTTCCTAGCACTGAGTTACTATGGAACATCCTCAGTCTTCTTCCCTAAGTGTGACACTGGTTTGGGGACGTGAGACCAGGTAGTTCAACTGAAGCACCTCTGTTTCCATCTCCCCTCCACCCTGGGAGATGAGAGGATGGAGGTACTGAGGAATTATCCTCATCCCAGGTCACAGATTAGAGGCAAAATTACGGTGATTAATGAGATGTCAGTGTCATTCAGAGACACCACATCACTTCTCACTCTTCCATAAAATAAACATTAAATCATTAAGTCACAGAATCATGGAATGGTTTGGGTTGGAAAGGACCTTAATGCTCATCCAGCCCCCCCCAGGCATGGGGAGGAACACCTCCCACTAGCCCTGGTTGCTCCAAGCCTTGTCCCACCTGGCCTTGGACACTTCCCAGGATGGGGCAGCCACAGCTTCACTGAAATCAATTCCAGCCCCACACCAACAGGGAAGATTTCCCTCCACATGTCCAAAAATTGCCCCTCTTTCAGTTTGCACCCATTTCTCATTGTCCTGTCACGACCGTTCCTGATGATGAGTCCCCCTCTGGCCTCCTTGTAGATCCTTTCAAACACTGGAAGTGGTGAAGTCCCCACCCCTGCAGGTGTCCAAGGAAGGCCTGGATGTGGCACTCAGTGCCCTGGGCTGGTGACAAGGTGGGGATCAGTCACAGCTTGGACTGGATGATCTTGGAGGGCTTTTCCAACCTCAAGAACTCTGGGTTAAGTCCTACCCATCAGCCAACC